GGGCTGGGAAAATCATATATTTGGTGTCTGCACTTTTGGTAGCCCACCCTTTAATAGCTGCATGAAAATTTGTGGCCCACCCTTAAATTGGTGCTGAAGAATTATGACCCACCCTTTCAGAAACGCGAAATATACCAGTATTCTATTTTTCTGTTGCCAAATAATTCTGTGTTACAATACTCAATAGCTATTCAAATGGTGCAATTAAAATTCAGGGCCTCTTTCAAGGATGTGCAACTGGAGAAGACATATTTAGCGGGTGACCTGGAGAAGTTCCAGTTGGCCAGTCTGTATCACTGCAGCTACCAGCATATATATGCATGGTTTAACTAATAAGTATACATCATAGGGCAGCAGATCAGGCCGTAACTAGGATTCTGAGACAACCGAGTTGACCACCCAAGGTGCGAGCCTCTAGAGGGGTCTGGGGGCATACCCCACAGAAAATATTGGATTTCTTGTAGCTCAGATAAGCTATTTCCCTCGTTTTGAGGAGTTTTCCAACAAGAAATTAACCTTATAAACAGTGACACAATTACTGCAATTTCACATCTCCCAAATGTAATCCAGTCCCAATAAGGCAACATGGTGTGATGATGCGGTAATTAAAATGTGTGTGGTATAGTATTATCATTCACCACACTTCTGCAGTACTGTAGTACATGTATTGGGGTACTTGAAATCGACACGTTTGTCTTCTCAGTGTCACTGAAGAGCAAGATCGAGTTGGTCTCTTTGGAGTATCTTTGCTTGGAAAAACTAAACTAGAATTTCATCCTAAAATGCCATTTCATGCCTTGTTCCACAAGCAAATTATTTCAGTCGTGGTTTAAGTTTCTGGCAATGTTTAAATTTCAGTCCCCAAATTCTGGCCTACCGAGTCAACTGATTCGATGGACTCATAGCTAGTTACGGGCCTGCAGATGATGGTCAAATTCAGAAATGTTAACAACTTAACATCGTTTTCTCACTTTGATACGTAATTGCTGGTTGACCACCTACTGCAGGTAGTTCTTATCACACTATGGACCTCACTTGGGGAGGGGGTATTAAATTGCTGACTGGAGGGACCAGTAAGAGGGCTGGGGGGGGGGAACAAAACGAGGCCCTGAATTAAATACAGACAGGTCTTTCTTTGCATGGAACTTCCATGCATACTGCATTGTGCAGTATCTTTCTCATAATTAGAGACCTTTAGTTTCACATTTACAGCTAACACCAAACTGCTAACGATGATTGTGATTTAACTACGCTCTTGTAGAAATTACACTAATAAACATCCTACACAAAGCTCGTGACATTTAGCAATAATGATTATCAGAAAATTAGTTAGTCACTACTAACATATTAGCCAAGACAGCAAATTCAGCTTTTAAGTTTGAGGTTAACGTTTGCGGTATAAATTTTACACGTGGATCCTGATACATTTTATTTTTATAAAATGAATTTTAATACACATGCTCTTGAAAAAAATTCTGCATATTTTTACATGACCCACCCTTTTGATTGCACTTAACTTTTGATGACCCACCCCTTCAACTGTGCTCAAAAATAGTGACCCACCCCCTATTTTTCCCAGCCTACCCCCTCTTTTACTTTATTACCAGTCCCCTAGCATCTTGTTCCCTTTGGCGGTGATGGTATTAACATGATCTTCCAATGAGAGGTTGTCATATGTGAAGACACTACTGTGTGATGTGATGGACTTAATTGTACGACTGCGAAAATTTGCAACAAGCCTTAAACGATCTTGACTGCTGGAGCTGTGACAACAACCTCGATTTTAACAATTCGAAGTGTAAGGTGTTGCCAATCACAAGAAAAAATCCCTGCTGACGTACACATATCATATGAACTCAAAGGAACTTACTCGTGTGGATAAGGAAAAAGATCTTGGTAGTTTGGTGTCATTTGCATACAAAGCAATGTCTCGTCGTTCTCGACGTGCGAACACGCCTCACGGACAATCTCTTGCAAAAAACTAGCCTTGAAAACAAAAGCAGGTAAATGAACGTTTTAACTAAAGATCGGATAAGTTTTTTTGAAAATGAAATATTACTGATAGGTTTTTGTACTGGATCTCTAGTTTATTTGGAACGCATGAATTTATAAAAGCCATTTTTTTGTGAAATTGACAACTTTTGTTATGATTTTGTTCGAATTTTTCAGTCCGAAAACTCGCGACTGTTTGAATAAATTTCTAGGCCTGAATATCGTCAATCTGAATGAATTGTCTCTAGTTGTAGCAAGAACATGTAATAGTGAATGTGTTCTCTTGTTTTCATTTGCATATTTTATCATAATTTTAAATTTTTGTAAAATTTTCTCGGGAGTAATGAACTGCTTGATCAGTTAATATTTAATTGCTGATCACATGAAATTTAGGTTTATAGTATATTTTATGCCTTCTTTTAGCTGAACCTTTTTGTTGGATTGGAAGAATATGTGTCTACCTAACATATTTTAAGTTGTCTATAAAGATATTTAAAGTCTATTTTAAAGAAGGGCCATTTAAATCGCCAAAAGATTGCTGTTTTAATACTTCTAAGCTGTTGTACACTACACATTGCAGGCAGACACATAGTTGTTGTTTGGACAATAAGAGACAGCTTGCACTTGGTGCAGACCCTTAATGGCATATACACTCTATATTAGTATAAGTGGGGTGTTCTAATCTGAAGAAGTAACACATAGATGTCTTTAGTTTGAGTATCTTTGGTTTGATCCAGAATTCTATTTAATAATGACAGATTGATCAGCTTTTAGTTGAGCATGCAATAATTATTGCTTGTAGGGATCTTATTTTAGCATGCTGAGACTTTTTGGAGAGATTCTGTATTACCTGACCATGTATTCAGTGTGTTGTGATCCACTCAGTTAGTCTGATAAACTGGGTTGTCTGTAAACTGGATGATCTTGGCACAGGTGACAGGACATGCTTGACTCAAATTCTATTCATGCAACTCAATATTAGACCTAGTGAATATTCG